GGAAACTTTGGTTATGACTATTTTGTAATAAGAATAAATGGAAAAGAACATGAAAATATCTCAAGCACCTTTTATGGTTGAGAATAAACAATTAACCTCTCCCCTGACATTCACTCTTTAAAAAAAAAAAATGAAGATATTTGTTTTTAACTTCAAAGTACATTTTAAATAAAAAGGTTTCTCCCCCTCCCCCCAGTTTTGGTATTACAAAAATAATGATGTCCAAAGTAAAAAGTTTCAGTTACTTTAAGTGCTCCCCCCATTAATTTTATCATTATTAGTTTGCTTGCTATTTGATACAATACATTGGCAATGTGTGGTTTTGGTATACAATGTTTAAAGTGTTGGTTAAAGAATGCAATTTTCAGTTTGATGACTATTTTTTGTTGTTGTTGCTGAGGAAATAAACCTAATCATGTATTGTGTAGGTGATGTGGAACACCCAAAATTGTGTAATCCCAGGGAACAAGTTGAGAACTGGAGAGTGTTTTGAAAAAATATTGTTTTATCTTTTATCTTAAGAACTTAGGTGGTTCTTTGCTTATGGATTTGAGTTCATAACACTGTTGTGTTTTCCTGATTTACTTCATTTAACCTTATTAATATTACTTAATATTACTAGAAATTAATATTGTTGTTGCTTAACATTAAAACATGAAACATAAGTCTTGGAAGACTGAGTTCTGAAAATCAACAAAATACTGTATCCAAAGGAAATTCTTTCTTTCTCCCCACCCATATTTGGTCTTTATGTTTCCTGTGATGGTATCAGTGTTTATAGGTCAATAATAGACACTGGAAGTAACACAAGTGTGAAGAAGGTGCTGGATCATATATGAGATCCCTGTATGGTGCTATGTTTCTATTTTTAATAGTGATGTTTGGGGGAGAAAATGGATTCTCACTGGAAGGCAAAATCAGAAAGTGAATTTAGGAAAACAAAGATTCTCTAAAATTGTAAGATAGACTCCCACAATCATCTGAGACAACAGCCTTTGGAAACACTGGTCAAAAAAGGGAAGAGAATGAATTCATTTTGGGAAAGAGGCATTAAGCAAACAGTGATTTTTAGAAGAATTACTTTGTTCCATTTCCTTGGTACAGAAATAGGAGGGGGTGCCTGAATTCCAGAACTGAAAAAACCAGAGGATGATAAAAGATGTGTCAATCCCCAAACAGTTTCATGTGAAACTCCTCTAACATTTATTTTCTTTCTGTGCAGGATCTTAATAGCATTTATTTCGGCATTGCAGGCATAGAGAACTTTGTTAAGTGGTAGCAACTTACACACACAGATTCAGAGCTGCCACACGTTAACTCCTGCTCAGGAGCGTGTGATACTTTACCCAAAACATAAAAACGGAGTGTTTGTTTTGATAACTCCTGAAATATTTTTTCTTTATTTTCACTCTAAGTCTGAGAACTTTGGCATTTGACTAATTTACCATGCATTTAAGGCTGGTAGCAATATCTGGAAAGAAATACGATAATCACTTGCTGCCACAAAGTATTCTATATACTGTTCTTTTCTTCAGCTCTAGTTTCACATGTGTTGGTTCAATGGAATATTCAATAGACATTTATAGGAAATAAATTGAGAGATGAATGTAAACCATATGGCATCTGGAGGTTTATTTGCAAAGTCCCTGCATCAAAGCTTTCTCCAGATCACACCATATTAGCTATGTTTTTCCAGTCCAGCAGAATCAGGAAGGTAACCACAGACTTCCTTGATGGAAAACACATGAAAAACAGAGCAAATCTTAATATGTAGCTTGAGTTGCTGGTCAAGGAGCATCCCTTAAAATAATTTTATTACCAGTGTTTTCAGCACATTGTTTGGAACTGCATTAAAAACATGAAACAAGTTGGTCTTGCTTAGAATTTTCTTCAAAATTATAGGATCCATTTCCATTTATTTATACCAATAAAAATGATCATTTTAGTAGCATGATATTTAAATCTCAGGACTATTTATTTTTTGGTTTGAATATGTAAAAAAAAGTTTCAACCAAAGGGAAATGCAACATTAAATACATGTAAATTAAAATTTTTGCAGATAATATCAAGGCCGTTACATATGTACAAAAGCCACCACACTGAGCTTTGGAGAATCACATTATTATAAGTAATAGTTAACAAGCATTGATTGGACAGAATGAAAAATGGTGCTCACATTTAATTTATATATATAAAAAAATTTCCTCAACCTTAAATGCTCCTGCTTGGTGCAGTTGGTCACAACTGCCTTTACATCTGATATCAAATTAATTCTCATGCAGCCTGTTATATAAATCATTATGAAATGTCAAAAGCTTGTACATATATTCTTTTAAGTCTTCACTTACTTTCCAAATAGTTTCCATTTTTCAGTGTCACAGACTTTTCAGCCACGCAGTCAATTTTAATGATTTTTTATCACTCTAAATTTCCCCCTCATTCTTAGTATATTTGTGCTGCCGCTGTCCACACACACACACACACACACTCACGGATGCCAGGGCAAGCAGGAAGCTGCACAATGGTGAAATGGAAATCTCTATTCTTCCATGTAGCTTGGATTGAATGGTCAAATGATTGACAGAGAAAAAGAATAGACAACATCTAAAGATTGTCCTTTATGAATAAATATTAAAATGAGCAAATTGACTTCCTGCCTTGTGCCACCCATAGTTTCTATTTTAGAACACTTGTTAAGGAAAGTGGTGACTTGCACTTTTTGGTAATTACTCAATTATCCATCTCAATGAAGTTCTCCTTCCTTTACAGGTTAAGTCTCAAAATTTACGGCAGTAAGTTAATGCCACTCACAACTTAAAAAAAAAAGAGTATGTGAGCAACATCACTTAAAAAATATGTGGCTAACTGCTGGAAGCTATTAAAAACCAAATAAACAAAAGAGATTACACTTCAAAGAAATGTCAACAGTTTTTCCTCTCTCAGAACAGACGAGTTTTCTTTACTTATATCCACATCCACATCTGGAAAATGCTTATGGCTTTATACATCTTTTATGGTAAAATGAATTTATTGAGTTTTAAAATTTTCATGATGGATTAATGCAATCTTCATAAAAAGTAAACCCACACCCTAGTAAAAATCTGTCTTTACAGTGAAGAATGATTTTAATAATAAATAATAGTGCAATGTTAATTTTGAGGAGCAAGATAATTTTGAGAAAGCATTTGGTTAACTAGATTTTTTTAATATTATTACATGGAAATGAAAATGCAATATCTTGTTCCTTATGACCTATCTTTAGGATAGCACAATTAATTTTTAAGTTGAGGGAAAAATAAAAGAAGCAGTGTGCAAAGCCAACTCCAAGTTTAACTGAATAGACCTATTCCAATTAAGTAACAATAAACTTAAAAGAATGCAATAGATTTACTGATAGCAGAATCTCCCAGGGAAGATTTCAACACAGTTAATGAATTCCTACAATTCTTCAAAAATTATACGGCATGCATCTTATGTATTTGAATGATGGCATATAATTTCTCATACAAAAATATGTACCTGTTTTGGAGATCCAAACAATTGACTTTATATGCCATACAATATTCTCCCTTGACTCCAAATTAAGTGTTCATTTGATACTGTTTTATAATTAACTGGGTAGTAGCAACTTGTTCTCTATACAAGCTTACCACCATCCCTCTTCCAAAAAAAGAAATACTACCTTTGGTACCCAACCAAATGTCCACATTTGGACAACTGACTTAAATTTAGTAATTTACAGTTTCAGTGGGGAGGGGAGTTGGGTAGATTTGAAATATGGGAGAAAGTGTCACCTTTATAAGTCAGGCCAAGAATTAAGAGGGGAAAAAAATCCCCCAAACCAGAAGAATGTTTAAAATGCAACAGCATAATTTGGACATAAAGTAAGTGGTCTGTAGTCAATAAAAAAGAGAAAGAAAAAGAAAAATAAACTCCAACAGACTGGCTGCAGAATAGGAAAGTAGATCTATTTTGTTTATTTATAAGTGAGTAGCAAGTAGATTCTTTCGCACTAACTAAACCAGACAGTAATTATAAACACAGGTTGGTTAAATTCTGTGCACCCTATCAAAGGAAACAAACTTCTTTCTTTTCCAAACATTGTCATTTGTTTATTGAGCCTCTTTGGGGCTTGGTTTCATTTAAAACTATGTAAGCACACATCTGTTAGCCCCAAACAATGTCAGCCTTATAAAGCTGAACCTGAATATATGCACACACAAATTTGCAAGTCACCTAACAGCAATAATTTTCAGAGTAGCCAGTCAGCATAGTGAGTAAAGAATTTGGATTCTTTTTGTTCCATTCTAGAAAAAACTTGACATTATAGTATAATCATATAGTTTAAGAGGACAGTTGCCGTGTCAGTAGTCTTGAATACTTGGTTACTTATATTTTCTGAGGTGAATTCAATGTACTTAGACTGAGGAACATTATTGCTTATATTCTAAAATACCACAATACAATCTTGGTTAACAATGAAATTATAAATATTGGAGTAAAATGTCATTTTAGAAATCATTAGGTTTTATCAGTACAGTACAACTGAGTCTCTCATTTAAGGAACTGTTTTATTAAAAAAAAATGGGGCCTGTGATATTGCTTATATTAGCTCATGTTAGATATCTGATTTCAAAAAACTTTAACACAGTAGACACTATTAAAACATCATTATTAGAGTTGTCATGCTTGGGTGGTTTGAACAAAGTGAATTTCATGTATTTGCTAGGAGACAGCAATAATAAATCCTGGAGTCTGCATTTCTAAGCAGTGACCTAGAGTCCTGGGGAACTGACTTAAGGAACTAACAGGACAATTGGATGGGTAAGGACGGTGGGGGTAGTGTTGGGAGAGGCAAAATCTGATCAAAGTTTACATGGAAATACTGACACACCACCCAAACTCCCTGGGGCAGCCATTCTAAACAGGACAGTCTCTGTCTACTTTGATTTCTGTGACATTCCTGGAATCCACATAAGCCATTATGAGGTCAGCAAGTCTTGTGCTACCTCTAGTCCTCTCAGTCACGGCAGACGTAGAGCTAATTGATCACCAAACTCTCCCTGGAGTCTGCATGGAGAGTCATTGTCTTTCTCAATTCAACACAGCAGACAGCCTCTTCCAATCGATCCTGACATTAGGCTACCAGGGAGCTCATCTACAGCAAGGTCTGAATCCTTTGCACCTTGCACACTGCCTGGCACATGCCGGGACTGCAGAAATGTTTTTTGTAAATGTGAGGCTGAACTGACATGAGTTAATATCTGCAGGGTGTGTGGAAGAATGGTGCATAATAATAAATGTTGACTGCTACCATTACTTTTTTCAATATCATTTATTGAAATACCTTCTATACATGAAAAAGGTTTATCAGTTTATTTGTTTTTAAATAGCATCATGCCAAATTACACTGTAATCTGTTTTATTATGTACTCTATTAACTTTCAGTAAGTTAAGATTCAAGTAGAATTTTTTTCTCTGTTCTATGCACATATGTAAAATATTCACAATATACAGATACCATAAATTAAATGACATCTATCATGGTGTGTGTGGGTATATTTTCTGTGTACTTAAATTTTTTCTGGTTGCTTCTTATATGCCATAAGTCTGCTTGACACCCTCATGCCTGTTCTCCTTTCCTCAGTGCTCATTTTTCTGACTATGAGACACACACATACCCAGCCTGTCAACCTATGGACAGTGTTTGCTTTACTAACATGTCTCTGTATGGCAAACCTTTCTTCACACTTTCTCTTTTCGCTCAATAACACTATTAGAAACCCTGAGAGTCAACTTGAAGAGTACCGACTGATGCATTCATTTTAATAGACATATTTCATGGTATGAATGTACCATATAAATATTAATAATCATCTATTAGTGCTACCTTTTGTTGCTGAGCCACACTGGCATATGTGTCTTTATACTTACAGACTTGCATACTGGGGCTTCTACATCCATGTGATAGATTCCCAGAAATGGGGTTGATGTTTTGAACCATGTACAAAATGTGTTCTTCATGGATGTTATTAGAATTATATCTTCACCTGGGCCTCCCTGATGGAGCAGAGGGTTGAGCGCAGAGCTGTGTAGCTGTCTGCAACCTCTGCAGTGCGGGTTCGATTCCAGGCTGGCCAGGGAGATACCCACATGGCACGGCAGACCTCTCCTGTCTCGCCTGCTGCTTCCCTCAGCAGTGTTTTCAGTCTGTCTGCCTGTTCTGCTCCCTGCTCTGTCTCTGGTGAATCCTGCCACACCTCTGGCCTGTACCCCAGTTCTTGTATGCATCAATAAATGAATCTTAAAAAAATTATATCTACACTTTAAATATATAACATTGCTTTTTTTCTGTGTACTCCCACAGTGGTAATGCCACTTTAAATAATCTTCTTTGACAATCTGTTAATGAAGTATCTCACTGTTACTTCAGCTTACACTTCTGGGAACTCATGACCCAGACCATATTCTCCTGTTTGCTAATCATTCAGTTTCATCTTCTTGAGCTGTCCACTCAACTTTTGAAACCTTAGTTTTTTTTTTTTTTTTATTATCAAGGGCTTGAATTACATTATCTTAAATTATTGTGATCTTTTATCTCCATTGCTCTCTACTTCCAGATAAGTGACCAGCCTGGCAGTTGCGCTTCCTCTGGTCGTACTATCTGGTGACTGGATGGCCTGAAGTCAATGTATTATTTTCTGTTTTAAGCAGAAATATTCAATTTTTAGAGCCATTGCAAGTTTCAAAGGTACACTGGCTGAGGTTTAATTTAACCTCATTAAATTAATGACTGTTATTTAATGATTAGTATTTATTGTGCTTTTACTCTATAACAGATACTGTGAAGGGCACTTCATGCACAAGGTCTTATTTAATACTCTCAACAATCCTATGAAGTAGGGGCTTCTCTTATCCACATTACGGTGATGGGCTATTGAGGTTCTAAGAGGAAAAATATCTTACAAAGACAATGACCTGTTTTACTCCAAAAGTTCAGTTTTTCATACTTTGTTATCCTACCAATTTTAAGACATTCCATAGATAGAATGGAATAAAATAACCTCAAATTATTAAAAAAAAATAGAATATATGCAAAGTTTTACCTTGGAAAATTTCTCTGCTTAATTCACTGATTCAATTTGAAAGTAAAACTCTCAACCCAGTTCTTGAAAGATTTAGGTGCATTAACTGTTCAACTGAGAACTTAATACTTATACTACAGTTAAATGGAGGGGGTGGGAGAGTAACTACTAGATTTGGAATTAGAAAATCTGAATTTTGATCTTGATAGAATCAGTTACTTTTTTCTAAAATATATTTATTGAGGTCAAGTGGGTTCACATATTTGTAACTGCTCCAAGAATATAGGTTCAAACCGCTATGCACATGTACTTTCACACTCTACCCACCACCAGTGCCCCAATGATCCTGGGTTATTTGCCACATCGTGTAGAGCAGTTAGCTTCCCTTACTCATATTACCCACAACAGCAAAATAGTAATAGTACTGCTTACTGTCTTTGCTCACTCTGTGAATACCCAGCAAGACTAACTATAGGAAAGCATCTTTTGCTATTTCTTCTTCTTCCTTGAGATTTAGCAATTGTTTATATTTTGAATATTTGTGTCATTTTTGATTAATTCTTTTCAATTAGTGATACACATTCTTACATTTTCAACTTAAATATGTCAGAATACATCTCTAAAAAATAAGAAAAATAGGAAGCGCTTTTTTAAACTCAAAACACAATTAAAAAAACTCTTTGTACCACTGAAGCCTGCCTAGATCATAAAGGCACTGTGAAGAGTAATGTCGTGTTTTTAGGCTGCTGAAGAGTACTTATATAATCACCATCTATTCTTTCTCTCTAGTGGCTGAAAAAAGAGAATCCCTTTCAACTACACTTTCGAAGCAGAGCACAGTATTAAATGCAGGCCACCACTCAATAATTTGTTAATATGCTTTGGTATGTCTTGCAAACACAGCAGAGAGATTTCCAGGTAAGCAGAATTAAAGGTTCTGCCACCTCCAGCATCTGAAGAAATGAAATAAAATGCACATTCTTGGATCTTAAAGGGAAAAAAATGTATTTCCATGTCTTTGAATCTGCCCTGTGTTAGCCCATGGCACCTAGGGACAGCCCCATGCTCCCTGGAGGAGCTCAACAAACATTTCTTGATGAAGATAAACACCTGCTGTATTTAAATACAAGATGAAGAAGTCAGAGCGTAAATGAATCTAAGAATAAACTGGGTGTGTATGTGCACACAGCTACTATTAGCATTATGGGAAATTACATTCCTGCTATTATTATGATTATCATTCTAATGACAAAGGGCTACACACTGAGAAAGGGAAAATTATAAAGAAGAAGGAATAAATCAGTTAAAGAGGAGAGTGAGTTTAAAACACACATATACTCATATGCCCAAGGGCCCCCAAATAAAGCACAAGAACTCAATTTTTATAATGGAAATGATGGCAGGGGTGGAAACAGCAGTAAATACCATGAGATCACAGGAGGAAATAGCCTGAAACTGCAGGAAGAAAAAGTATACCATCTCATCCACTAGACCTCGTTCTTTCTCCCTCCCTCCGGAAATGCCTTTGTCCAACATCTTCTATTTAACAGACTCCTCAATGCCTTATTTTTGTTGTGGTTTGTTCATATCAGTGATGACTAGACCCAAGATTGCTCCAACAGTTGAGAAGCACAAATGTTTGCACAGGCAGACAAGGAAGAAGGGAAAGCAATGAGTGAAAAGTTGTTAACAAAGCATGGAACTAAAAGTTCTACTGGTTTTTCTAGCATTAGGGTAAACTTTATCTACTGAGGAAGTCCACTATGAGCTGGAGTTTGAATTAATTAAACAGTGTTCTCATGCTGAGCAGTCAATGTTATAACAAATAGTCTCTCTTCCCAGCAATAGATTCCAAGTGAATGCCATGATTTGAGAAATTGAACTTTATGGATGACACTATAAAAGTTCCAGTATCTTGGTGCCTGCTGGTACACACAGGGGGCAAACTTCTAAAATCCTGTCCAGTGTTAAGCCCATCTGAAGCCCATCTGAAGCACTGGGCTACCATCTGGCTTTTTCCAGAGAGGTTGCTTTTCTTTTCTTTTTTAAAATATTTATTTATACAAGAAATGGGGTACATGCCAGAGTTGCGGGAGGGTGAGAGAATTCACCAGAGACAGAGCGGGGAACAGAACAGGCTGACGACAAAAAACACTACTAAGGGGAGCAGCGACCAAGACTGGAGAGGTCTGTCGCGCCATGTGAGTAGCTCCCTGGACGGCCAGGAATCGAACCCGCGCTGCAGACGCTGTAAACAGCTTCACAGCACAGCACTCAACCCGCTGCTCCATCCGGGAGGCCCCAGGTTGCTTTTCCTTAGGAGTCACAATCACTTATAAACTGGATTGGAAGAAAGAAAAAAAATTATCTGCTTCCTTGGAACTGATATGGCCCCTCAGTCAAAGAGGACAGTATTTCCAGAAACTACTCAGAGCAGAAATCTAACAGGAATTAGCAGCCACCACTTCTCCAGGTCTGCTCTGATGCCCCTGGGTCAGGACAGGGCAGACCAGATGAAACAAAGCGCCAGCTCCGCACAGATTACTTAGTAGGGCCTGTGCTGTAGGTAAAGAAAACAGGCAGGAGGACTGAGAAACCTAGGGCCTCTGATTTTTAAATGCCCAAATGTTTACCAGCTGACCTTCCCCTTTACTGCGCTCTGGGAAGCAAGGTGCATACAATAAAGTTCAAACCAATCAACTGCTTTCAGCTGTTCTTGTGCAATGAATTTTTAAACATTTGGTCATTAAGCCCAATATATATGCAGGTCAGTTTTTGAACAGGATGGGAACAGTTTGGGAGCAGATGCCACGGTGCTGCCTTGTGGAAAGGGGATAGTAACGGAGCACAGAGGATATTCATGAGGCTCCACCCATCAGCTTCAATTTCTCCCAGTTTTTTGCCTCCCAGGCTCCTCTATACACTGCTTCAATGATCAGGAATAGTTATTAACTTCTGTTGTCACTTCTTTTCATTAATTGAGTGGCAGCCTGTAGCCCATAAAGAGAAGATCCTGGGTTGGTTTTTCTCTACACCTTCCATGACTTGTCTGAAGGTGGGGTAGCTGCAAATTGGTCTTGTGTGTTTGATTGGTGCATAGCAAATAGATTTGTTTGTTTCTGAGCAGTTTGTGCTAGATAGTTCAACTTACTTTTGAACATCAATGAAATGAAAGCTTTCAGTGGTAAAGAATTTAAATCACTTTACCATTTCCTTTGCTACATTCTGGCAGCCATATGTATGGGGGTAGCTTTAATGCTGATATTATGGGGGGTCAAACACAAGATTGTATTGAAGATGGGAAAATAATAAGACACAGTATCCCACAAATCAGTTTAAGAGGTTATCTTTGTGAGCTCAGACCAGCAACCTAGTTCAATCGATTGCATGTTTCATAGGAAACTTCTAATGACAATATTCACCAAATTTTATAATATGATCCTCCCAAGCCCCTAAACAAGGCAGGAGTGGGGAGCTGCGAGAGTTCATGTTTTAGATTAGGGCGTACATAAAACCTCATCTAAAAGTCACCCTGACAAATAGAACTCCAATGTGACCAGGTATGTTTGAATAGTGGAGAAACAGCCAACCACAGTTTGCTGATACAGAAAGAAAAGCAGTGGGGGGAGAAAGGCAACGAAGAGCTTTATGGGGCCAGTTGCTTTTAGAGGCCTTTTGTATGACTTCAGCATCTGGCAGTTTGTCTTAAATAATATTTGAATAGCCTGTAATCTTGCTACTATCAAAACTGTAACAAAGCAATAAAGCCAGGTGTTAAATCCCACCCCCCACCTTCTCCCACCTTTTTTTTTGGTGCTAGCAAAATCTTGCACTGCTCACAAAGTATGACGTGCATAGAAAATTATTCATCAGTGAATGTCCAGTCAACAGAGGCTGCCGGCAGCTTCGCAGCCCAGTGCTCAACCGCTGCGCCACCAGGGGAGGCCCCAACCCTGAAGATTTTTAAGAAAAATGAATGTGTTTTACTAGTAGAAAATCATTATTGTGGGCATCTTTGTAGAATAACCATGGGAAGGAAGGTATGGGGAGAATTACTTAAATTTTGAATAACCAAATATCTAAAAATTGTTCGAGTACTGGCAGTGTAGATAGATATTTGTATGCACTCGAATATCAAACTTGTTACACTTGAATATCAAACTTGTCCCTGAAAACTCAAGAACTGGTCAACCAGCAGTCTTATGAAAGCATCTTTTAAATACCAGCTTTGTTTTAGAGTTCTCTTTTGAGGAGAAGCCAAGTAATATATAAGGTCCATAGAGACAAAACATTGAGGGGTTTGTGACTTTTTCATAGAACAGAAATCTGCATGTCCGAGAAGGATGATAATCCTTCAATGAAAAAAGAGATATTTCAGATTTAAGGTCTACATGTTTAAGGAATGAGGTTAGTAATTGTTCTTTCCCCAGTAAGCTGAAGTTTATTACTGACAGAGAAGGGGAACAGAATGTGCAAGGAGAACTTGAAGGGTCATTGCTAGAACTTTATAAATAAGAAGAAAGTCAAGAAAAAATGGGCGGTTCATTTCCCCCATAACAAAAATATATTTTGGTAAATCATTATTCTGTTTTCAACAGAACTTAAATTAATGAGATATAACTCATTTTAATAGTTATCACCTGATAAGTGCCTTTCAAAATCCAGATACACAGATTTAATTACTTTACTTATGCCATACCATCAAGAAAGTTTATTTTTAATAGCCCTTTTTATGTTTCACAAAAAAACAATGGTTTGTGCTCCCTCTGTTGGCTTTTCAGGAGCAGTTAGTTCATAAATTCCCTTTCTGGAGGGTCCCTGCCGTGGCTGGGTGCTCCTGTAGTTGCTGGGTGGGGAGGGGTGTATTGTTAATTGAACTTTATGTCCCTGTTAAACTTGAAGTCATTCTAATTTCATATCTTGCAAATAATGCAGAAAGAAGAAGTTATTTGGTAATAGAGCACAGTCATTTCACAACTAAAGAAGAAATGGATGCTCCTACAATATCATGTCAGATAAAAAAAAAGTATTAAAAATAATTCTCCCAACTATTTGAGTTGGTGAGAAAACATATTAAAGGTATAATTGCTTTTTTTTTGTTTATCCTCTTATTTTTGTCCCTGCAAGAGCTGCAAGCTTAACATAAAAGGACAGCAAATACTAAAATGAGAAACAATTCATTAACACAGCCTGGTGAAGGTAACTTAAAGGAGAAAAAAAAACCCTAGAATTTCACTTATCTTCTTATTAACAAAAAGTGAGTTTTCTATCCAAATTATTCTTGCACTTGATTACTATGCTCCTTCATTTAGCTTAGCAAGACCTCCTAAGGCTCTTAATTTACTGGGAAAAACCTGTTCATGATGAGTGTGCCTTTCTCTAAGTAAGTTTTGCAGCAATTGTCTAACTGTTGTGCCCGTAGACTTTAGAGGCTAGAACATTTACTCATAGAATTTCAAATCTCAGTCCAACAAACTTTCAGTTTCATGCATTTGTCAATTAAAGAATAATTAGTAATAATTATCTAACAATATGTCATGAAAATTATATTTGCCTGTTTATAGATGCCTTCTCAATGTTTCATAAGTGGACTATCTTTGAAAGATGATTAGAAATAAATTCCACTTACTGAGCATTTGCTATGTGCTAGGCACTGTGCTAAGCACTGCATGTACCTCGTCTTATTTCATCTTCAGTACAACTCTCTAAGGATTATCAGAGACATTATCATCACTGAAGGAAGATAAGACAGAACAAAATACCTTGCTGTAGTGTAAGGTAAAAGGTATCAGGCTTTTCTGCCCTCCTGCCATCAGGATAGATGATGGAACCCTGTGGTTTCGAATGCATGCCTGATGGCGGGCACCTGGAGTAGAGTGTAGGCATAGGAAGATGGGATTCACCTGGACTAAGACTGGGCTTATAAGGGCAGCATCACGGAGACGCCAGTAGAAGTAGAACTGTTATAGGGCAAACCCCGATATAAAATGGGGTTTCTTGACTGTGGGTGCTCACCCGCGTGCTTAAAGGGCAATTATTAATGCTAAACTGCAGACACACACAAAAGG